TGGTTATCACAGGATGATTTTGATCCTTCTATATTGGGACAACCAATAATTGAGGGCAGTCAGATTGGATCACACCTAGTTCCCCGATTTTAGCTAAAGTATTAGTCAACCCAATCTCTAAAACTGGACCACCATCCTTAAAGACATTTCGACCAGCTGCTCTTCCTCGTTTCAGATTAGCTATAGCTTTGTGAACATCAATTAGAGTCGTTGGAACTTCTTCAATGTTCCATTCAGGTCTTTTGGGAATGGTGGGTAGTCATAGAGTAGATAAATGCTAGCCGAACTGCTCCTTAAAGTGTTCCGCCCATCATTCTAAACGTCTAGGTTGAGAGCGGATAAGTGTCGTCTTTTTCCGAGATAGTCTCACACTTGAGTTTTTAGTTCTAGTTTCTTTTATTAGTCTGAAGCTCTGTCTTTTGTTGCCTTCAGCTGCCGCCTTTTCTATCTCTCTTGCTTTAGATGCCCATCACTGCTCACGGTCGTTCCTAAGACTTTGGTTAACTTTTATCTGATTCGATTTCGCTCTTCATTGCATTCAGAGCCTGATGAGATGAGTTTACGAGAATCCATCAGTACCACATACTTAGAAGAGATCCATTAGTTTAAACCACTAATAGGTGTCACTGCTGTTTCCACAGCTGTTTGTATGTCTTCCCAAGCAACATCTGGGTCAGCCTCGTTTTCAGAACTATCTAAGTGTGACCTCAGTTGTTACTGGAACCTACTTTTGGTTTTCTCATTACTCAACTCAGTTCTAATGGGTCTTTTTAATGTGGCTTTTTTGCGTCCCGTGAGGCGCAAGCAGATGCGTGCCTGTATTAGGGCGTGGTCGGAGTCCAAGCAGGTACTCCAGAATGAGTGACAATCTTCTACCGACCCTCTCCAACGATGACTGATGATAATATGGTCTATTTGAGTCCATCGTTGGTTTGGTGCAAAAGGTCGCCATGTTAGACGATGTCTCTCCTTATGCTTAAAATTAATGTTCGCTAAAAATAAACGATTGTCTAAGTACAGTTACAGCAGTCGATCACCATTATCTGTTCACTGAACCGGAATACCAAAATACCCACTTAAATGTTTTTCTGTTTGGCTTAAGCTACCTACCTAGGCATTAAAGTCACCTGCTACTTGTGCTATGTCTGGACGTTCAGCTTTCTGAAGAAGTTCAGAAAGCTTTCTGTAAAAGTCATATTTAACTTCATCCGAGCTGCAGTCAGTGGGTGCGTAGACAAAAACGATGAAAAGGCAACGACATGTGTCCCTGTTCTTTCGAGTTCTTATGGAGCCGTCAAGCCGAATAGCACATAAACGACTGTTAACGGGGATCCACTCTAACAGTGCTTATCATGCCCTTGTACTTAATGCTGTGCCTACACCTGCCAGTCCACGAGAACTAGCCATTGTGTCACCAGATACACGTAGGGTGTATCCCGTCGGCTCTGCGTTTTGGTGAGATGAGGTCAAGTGAATGAGCACACTAGGATCCTGTGTGCGTGTTGCGGAGACACAGCATACATCAATGGCACAAAATTCTGGGGTTTTAGCCAAGGAGGCCTGCCGACCCATTTGACATAGGGTGCGTACCTTGAACGCTCCAATGTATAGTTTGGAGCAAGGTTTCATTAGACTTGGGACTGTGTTTCGCTCACTAGAATTGTTGGCTTGGCGGAATCTTAGTGTTGAAAGTCGATGTAGAAGGAATAATAGGAATTGAAGAGGGAGGTTGATTATGAAAACAGTGATCTTAAGTGCTTTCCGAGGTATGAGGGTGGTTATCACTTCTCGGTTGCCCACATAGTGGGATGGTTCTTCTAGATGTACTTGGGAAGAAAATTTGGTAGATGGTCAGTTACACGACGTTTTTGTGAGTAATTTTCGTGTTAGCTTCGTACTTGTTGAGACCTTACCGCCGGGGACGGATATCTTCTAATCTCACCACTCCTCGTAAATCGTAAAGCTTGGCTATCCTCGTACAATAAGACCCTGCCATCTGCGTATTCAAGTTCAAAAAGTCCAGGTAACAGAAACTAATCCTCATTATCCGCTCTCGTCAGAGCTGTTTCCAGGATACCAACGACAGTAAAGGTCGAAGAGGTATAGTGAGATTGTGTAACTCCGTCCCGCTACTTTACTGAAGTGGAACATCAGAGACAAGATTGTATATGTCCTCACTCTCTCTGAGGTGTATGTCTACATAGCATTCGGGATGTTAATTAACCTCAGGTACACCATCAACACAACCCCAGGTGACGCTCCTGTCCAACGGAAACAAAGGCGGCTCAGTTATAAAGAAAACAATTTTTGGCCTACAGTATGTATGGTGATGCCCTATAGTTTTAATAAGTGTAGATATGGTAGGTGCATCCGAGACCAGTAAAACTCATCTGCTATCCTTGAATCTGTTCTTCACTGGTTTCGGACGATGTGAGTGGAATGACGATAGCCAATAGTATGGATGCGATATGAAGTATATCTGTCCCCTGTAGTTGCTAGATATGTGATGTAGCCTCTTTTTAAAGATGGAAACTGGTTTGACACCATCCTAGAAATGCATAAGGTAATTCGTCAGAGACTGATAATTATTCTTCTGCAGTCTAGTTCCTTGAAGCTCCTCGTAGGTGGATCAGTCATCACAGGCCATGGCGAACAAACAGTCTGGTCGATGTCATCAGTACAGCAGACCAGCTGTTTTCCTCAATGAACTCTGTCCATCATGTGGGACGTCAAAGTGTACTGCTAATTGACGTTCTTTTACACATTGCTCCACTCAAACTAGACTTGCTTCTGGAGGCTCGGATGAGTTGGAAGAGCTTATGGCAGTTGTCAGATTCAACTACTGCTTCCAAATCTTTTGGAACCTCCGACCAACAGGCTTCCAGGTCCTTAATTAGAGATCTAATTTCATCGTTGAACATTCTTCCAACTTGCTATACTAGTCGTTAGGTAACGTCATGTTAAATAATGGTTTAACATGCGTAATATTTGTCTTAACTGTATTCAACAAAGCTTCGCAGTCGACTTATCTGCGTGGTACCCTGAGTTTTATAATAATGCTCGGTGTTATCATTGTACACCAATAATGCTCTCGCGATCAATTTCTAGGCTTTTGTCTATGAAGTAAAATCAAAATATCGAAGGGATTTCGCTGACTTCCTGATTGAACAATATGGAAGTAGGTTTGTAGCTTATTGATTCTCACAACTTATCTACATCAAATCTGAAATTGAATGATAGTTTAACTTCATCATTTATGATTTCTTCATTCTGTTGTAATTTTCACCGGTTAAAACTCATTTGTTATTGCTTCTTAAAACATTAAGGAATGGCTGTTACCAAGCTTACATTTTTTCTGTTTACGTAGTTTGAGTCTTACAGAGTTTGAGTAGAACTATACCTTCAGATTTAAATTTAATGATCACGAAAATCATATTTTTTGACGTTATCAATGAGATAAGTGAGTGTTATAATACCCCATGGTTACATCATTTGTATGTGTATTATGATTGGCTTACATGTTAGTATATTTTCAATGACGGTATGTTAATGTTTCAAGAGTATGCTTTGGTAAAAACGTACGAAAGGGAAGTGGAAGTCATTAAATTTACCTTAAAATAATATTGGTGTTTGTATTTGGTTATCCACCTGAAACATACAGCAAGACAGCTCGAGATGTCAGCAAATCTCAAATAAATTATTTTATATCATAATTGTGTCCATCAAATACATAACTGTCGTCTACTTGTGCGTTTACTGAAGTTACTTAAGATATTAATATTCATTTAACACAGTTGTTTGCATTGATGCAATGCTCATTCATATTGTTCAGAGTAACAGGTTATCTTAAATGTCTAACATTTATGAAACATTCGTATTAGGAAACCCCATGGCCAATTAAACAATGTAAACGGGTGTATGTAAAAAACTTTAAGTTATTCTTAATGCCACGCTTGAATTTGAACGATAATCTTCGAAATATATTATTAGTAAACAGTAAACGGGATTGCAATCATTGAGCTAGACTCTTCTACCACCCGATACGTATCAATATGCAAACACTGAAGCCGGTTACTCTTAATGTATGATTTTACGTGAAGTTGGCTGAGTCAGACTTACTACTATATTTATCGCGAGTACTATTTGCCTATAGAAAAATTAAGATATTTAACGTTAATGAGTTGCTGAAAATTATCATAAATAAGAATCTGTTATAACAGGTATAAATAAAGGATCGTTGGTCATTCGATGGATCTAATTTTGGTCCTTAACGACTTGTTGATTAACTGACAAGTTGTCGTTTGGATATTTTAGATGATTGTTAAAATCTTTTAATTCTGTAAGCAAATTATTAGTTCGAATACTGTAACGAATATAAGTTCCTTCAAGACTGGTATATATACCATATTGAAAAATTCAGAAAAAAACAAGTCCATAAGTTTCTCTCGAATGCTTCAGGTCATAAATTGGGATTTAATTTCTGTGTTCTTTCAATGAATACGGTTCTCAAACCAAGAGCTGTTTTTCTTGGACTTTGGATATCTCATATATTCCCAAAATATTACAACATAACCGAAAATGAACTTATTTTATTTACATTTAGTTGTGCTACATAACGTGATTTTTCTAATTCCCAATCATCTTCTTATTGTTATAGCACTTTTCTACAGATCTTCAAAATTCATCTCAGTCACATGTAGATGTGAAGCGTTATGAGTCGTTAAGAATGATGAATATTCCATGTTACATGACTGGGATTTATCATGAAACTTATCGACACTTTCATCTAGTTAACTTCTAAAACCCTCATTACAAGGATTGTTTGAAATAATACACACTACATCTTGGTGAGGTGATAAGACCATATAATTTGTGTATACCCTATTTTTACATTGTATTATAGATAACTCAATACAATATTATATGAAAATGAGTGATAAAACAACGCCAATTGTTTAATGTAAACTGTAAAAAACTTTGATGAAATCCATGAAATATTGCCCGACCGTTGTTGCTACCTTGACGTGGTGGTCGGGCTTGCCTATCGTGATGAAGCAACCGAGCTATACTGGCTGGAACAACCGTTCCTCAAGGTCCTACCATGTCAGACAGGTCGGTTGAAGAGCGGTAAGACTAAAAGCAACAAACCCAAGGTCCGAAGGCGAAGTCGTACTGCTGACTGTACAGAGGTGTGACAGCAGTAAGGTGTTTCCTTCAGACAACCAGCATGACAGCGATGCTGCCTTCCCACAAGGAGGGGTGGGGTTAGAAAAGGTCGACCCTAAAAATGCACACCTCGCCTTATCCCACGGATATCCGTCTCCGGCGGTAAGGTCTCAATAAGTACGGAGCTAACACAAAAATTACCCATAACAAGGTCGTGTGTGACCGACCTCAAGCAGTTGTCCCTTGGGCACTGCGGTCACGCTCTCAGGTCACTAAGACCACCTCTAATCCAATTTCCTTTTCAGGTACCTCCAGAAGAACCCTTCCACGGTGTGGGCAACCGGGAAGTGATAACCGCCCTCATACCTCTAACAGCACTCAAGACCACTGTATTCATAATCAACCTTCCTCTTCAATTCCTATTATTCCTCCTACATCGACTTTCAACTCTAAACTTCCTCCTTCGGCTTCCTCCTCAAGTGTCACCATAGCCAACGATTCTAGTGCTCAAAACACTGTCCCAGGTCTACTGAAACCTCGCTCCAAACTACACATTGGAGCCTTCAACGTACGCACCCTATGTCAAATCGGTCAGCAGGCTTCCTTGGCTAAAACCCTAGAGTCTCTTTCCATTGATGTATGCTGTGTCTCCGAAACACGCATACAGGATTCCAGTGTGGTCATTCACTTGACCTCACCTCGGCAAAACGGAGAGCCAACGAGATACACCCTTCGTGTATCTGGTGACCCGATGGCCAGTTCTCGTGGACTGGCAGGTGTAGGCATAGCACTAAGCATGAGGGCGGAACAAGCACTGCTAGAGTGGATCCCCGTCAACAGTCGTCTATGTGCTGTTCGGCTGAACGGCTCCGTAAGAACTCGGAAGGATAGGGACACACGTCGTTGCCTTTTTGTCGTTTCTGCCTACGCTCCCACTGACTGCAGCTCAGATGAAGTGAAAGATGAATTTTACAGAAAGCTGTCCGAACTTCTTCAGAAAGCTAAACGCTCAGACATAGTACTCGTAGCAGGTGATTTTAATGCTCAGATAGGTAGTTTAAACCAAACAGAAAGGCATTTAGGTGGATATTTTAGTATTCCGACACAGCGAACAGATAATGGTGATCGTCTGCTGCAGCTATGCTCAGACAATCGTTTATTTTTAGCAAACACAAATTTTAAGCATAAGGAGAGACATCGTCTAACATGGCGACCCCCTACACCAAACCAACGATGGACTCAAATAGACCATATTGCCATCAGTCATCGTTGGAGAGGGTCGGTAGAAGATTGTCGCTCATTCTGGAGTACCTGCTTGGACTCCGACCATGCCCTAATACGGGCACGCATCTGCTTGCGCCTCACTGGACGCAAAAAAGCCACATTAAAAAGACCCATTAGAACTGAGTTGAGTAACGAGAAAACCAAAAGTAGGTTCCAGGAACAACTGAGGTCACACTTAGGTAGTTGTGAAGACGAGGCTGACCCAGATGTTGCTTGGAAGGCATACAAGCAGCTGTGGAAACAGCAGTGACATCTATTAGTGACTTAAACCACAGAGTTACAAGGAACCAGTGGATTTCTTCAAGGTCTGTCACACTGATGGATTCTCGCAAACTCGTCCCATCAGGTTCCGAACATGATGAAGAGCGACAACAAATCAGATCTAGGTTAAGAAAAAGTCTAAGGAACGACCGTGAGCAGTGGTGGGCAACGAAAGCAAAAGAGATGGAAAAGGCGGCGACTATAGGGAACACAAGACAGCTTTACAGACTAATAAAAGAAACTGGAATTAATAAGTCAAGTGTAAGTGAGATTATTTCGGAAAAAGATGATACTCTCATCTGCTCCCAGTCCAGACGTTTAGAACGATGGGCGGAACATTTTAGAGAACAGTTCAGCTGGCCTTCAGCTACTCTACAACTACCCTCCATTCCCAGACAAGTGAATGGAACATTGAAGTAGGTCCCCCAACTCTTGCTGAAGTTCAAAAGGCTATAGTTAATCTGAAACGAGGAAGGGCAGCTGGTCCAGATGGACTGGCTCCAGAGGTCTTTAAGGATGGTGGTCCAATTTTAGCGATTAGGTTGACTAATATTTTAGCTAAGATCTGGGAATTAGACGTTATCCCATCTGACTGGTCGCAATCACTTATCGTCCCAATATATAAGAAAGGGTCAAAATCATCCTGTGACAACCACAGAGGGATTAGTTTAACAAATATAGTATCTAAAATACTGGCCTCGATAATTATCAGACGCCTAACTAAGACTCGTGAACTGCAAACACGAGAGAACCAAGCTGGCTTTAGACCTGGTCGTGGCTGCATCGACCACATATTCACCATTCGTCAGGTTCTAGAACACAGGCATACTTATCGGCGTCCGACAATGGTGGTCTTTCTTGACTTAAAAGCAGCATTTGACTCTGTAGACCGCGAGATTCTGTGGCAGTGTCTGTCATTGAAAGGCGTACCTCAGAAGTACATAAACCTTGTGAAGGCTCTTTACTCGAACACTACTAGTCGAGTCAGGGCTTATGGCGAACTGTCATCTACTTTTGCAACCTCAAGTGGTGTCCGTCAAGGCTGTCCACTTTCCCCATTTTTGTTTAACTTCATCATAGACCTATTGATGGAAATAACTCTCTCGTCGACTGAATTCTCGGGTATTGATCTCCTTCCAGGAGGTCCACTTATCGACTTAGAATACGCAGATGACATAGTCCTGTTTGGTGAAGACGCTGACAAAATGCAGAGTCTTCTGGTAGCACTAAGCAACAATGCCAGAATGTTTGGAATGCGCTTCTCTCCCTCTAAATGCAAGTTGTTGCTTCAGGACTGGTCTGCGTCAACACCTGAACTAAGGATAGGGAGTGAAGTAGTCGAACGCGTTGACAACTTCACTTATCTTGGAAGTCTGATCAGCCCTAATGGGTTGGTGTCTGACGAAATCTCAGCACGGATTCGAAAAGCTCGTTTGGCTTTTGCCAACTTACGTCACCTTTGGCGGAGGCGAGATATCCGTCTATCAATAAAAGGACGAGTATACTGCGCGGCAGTCCGTTCTGTTTTAATTTACGGCAGCGAAACATGGCCATTAAGAGTAGAAGACACTCGTAAGCTACTAGTATTTGACCACAGATGCCTTAGAAATATTGCTGGCATCTGCTGGGATCACCGGGTAAGTAATAGTGAGGTTAGACGCAGGGTATTAGGGAATGATGGTAAATCAGTTGATGAGGTTATGAATCTTCATCGACTGAGATGGTTGGGCCACGTGTTACGTATGCCTGAACACCGATTACCACGACGTGCAATGCTAACCGGTGTAGGGGATGGTTGGAAGAAAGTTAGGGGCGGCCAAACCAAAACGTGGCATCAGTGCTTGAAGTCACTAACTTCTAGTCTGAGCCATGTTGGTAGATGCAGACTACTTGGTTGGGGTCCGCGTGACTTCGTAACCAATGGTTGGAGACCCTTGGTGACATGGCTCAGAATCGATCACAATGGCGTCGGTGTATACACTCCCTGTCTTCCCTTAAACTAAGAGATTAAAATCGCTTCATATCTTTCTTTCTACGAACCAATTCTTTCTTCTTGTACTATATCTCTATATGCAATCTTTCTCTTATATATTACCACCTTTGACATAACCACTGCTATGAATCCGGTGTTCATCTTGTTGTGCTGATGCGGTATGGCAACCTGGACTGATGCACATATGTGCCTGGTCCTACTTTGTAGCTGACTGACCATGAAATATTGAAGCCTGTATACGGAAATATTTCAGTGACGAAACAACTATTTTCACGTGGATCAAGAGTTTCAATGAGGGTTATGAAAAGTACAGGTGATCCAAAGCTAAAATAACTATCAGTATAGGGTTATGGAGATTATTAAGTTTTTGATTGAGATTATGAACTGATTAATGTTAAACTACCATTGAAAACCTGGAAGCACTGGACGGCCATTTCGTCTTATTGTGGGACTCCTCAACATTGTGCATCCACAATCCCGCAAGTGGGGTATAAACCCAGGGCCTTCAGTCTCACGCGCGAACGCCTAACCTCTAGATTTTCAATGATGGTCTGACATCAATTACTTCATGATCTCAATCAAAAACCTGATAATCTTCACAACCCTAAACTGAGAATTACCATTTGCTCACTAGTGACTAGCTTCGTGGGGGAATTCTCGGAGTTCTAGTGAGAAGCCGTGACCAGTAGAGCTAGTCCGTGTCGAGTTAATTTCAATCCAGCAAAAGTTGAATCAAAATATGACTAGGGATATCTATAAAAGTAAAATCTATAAAGATATTTTTGGTTAATAATGTTTAATTTCATCGAATTATACGGAATGGTTTAAACTTGTAAGTAGTACATTGTGTTAGTTGAAAACAACAAAAATATTATTACACCTAACTGTATTCGAATTCTTAATGCCAGTTCACAATTGATTGATCACTGGGTGGCGATCAATGTCATGCTTGTCTAGTCCTTATTAGTGCAGATCGAATGCTATCGATCATGTTGCAATGTGGCCATCAGTCTAGGTGACTCGACACTGCGGGCACTATGTATTGAGATCAGATGGTGGTTGGAGGTAGTCAACAGGAAACCCTGGATCCGGGTTTCTTGCTACTTGGCACTCGTCAGCAAGCATTCGATCTGCACTAATAAGGACTAGACACGCACGACATTGATTGCCACTCAGTGATCAATCAATTGTGATTACATCTCAGTCCTACAGGAGGTCGATCGTGGCTCGGATAGCTCAGTGGTAACGTCTCTGACTGTGAAGCTAGTTGACACGAGATTGAATCTGCCAGGGAGCACCAGTTCCCTCAAGATTACAGGTACACCTTGCTGACGAGTGCCAAGTAGCGCGAAACCTCTGTCCAGGGTTTCTTGTTGACTACGTCCAAACACCATCTAATGCCAGTTCTTTATGAGAAAGTGTAATAATTATTAATGTACAAATCAAGACTTCTCAAACTAGATAGCCTCATATAAGAAATTTTAGGATATTTTTTTACCTGTTATTGAAGAGATATAAACACTAAATACATAGATTTATATCTGTAGAAGTAAATCATAAATAATTGTTGATTTCCAAAATTCGCTTAGATTCCTGTTTTGAATGACAGTTCTGAAAGTATCTAAACATAAAACAAGAATTAGTTAATCAATATTTAATCGATTCTAGTGTTAGTTATTCTTTTTTTTAAAAATTCTGTACTGACATTGACTTGTTTTTCTTGAATAGAATGTACTTGAGTATATATCGGTGATTTCTGTTATATCCCGACGAGAATAATGAATGATAACTGTTGGAATCTATTTTTGGACTATTACTATACATATATTTTTATTGTATAGTTGTTAAGTAACTGAAATATTCATATTCATGTTTCTCTTATTATAAGCTTTATTTTGACCTACAGGCTATTATAATGCGATTTACCATTCTTGAGTTATGCTCAATTTATCAATTACTACCTCCCACATTCACAGCCATATTTGGTTAGTTCTTGTACAAGTGTTGTTACCTATTTATGGTACGATGTGGTTTGTTTTGTCTGGATATAAATACAGTATATTTGAAATATATGATTCATATCGTAGAGGTTGAGATTGGTGTTCTGGACTTAATAGGCGGGACTAGGAGGGAAAAAGGACCGGTACAGACTCTAGACTGCTCGTACGTGTTTTATACATCATTGGTCCGGTTGAAAAATCACTGTTCTCTATTAATTGATAGTTGAAATCATGAAACGATTAAAGCTAGACCACCATGTAAAACCTGGAACTACTGGAAGGCCGTTTCATCCTAGTATAGGACTCCTAGGCAATAATGACAGACGGTGGCTCAATATCGTGGATTGGTTGAAGTTAGACATTAACAGTACTGGATGCCGTCTGGAAGTTAAGCGTTCGCCCTCGAGACCTAAGCTTCTAGGTTCGAGTCCCGCATGTGAGGTCGTGGGTGTGCACTGCTAAGGAGTCTTAGTCTTGTTAAATATTAACTCTTTACAGTTATAGGCCAGGTGTTGTTTTCTAATATCCACTGCGATAACATAAGAGTAGTGAGAAGAATCAATTGTATTTGTTATTAACTCATATATTATATATAAAAACCTATTCCTACTATCATATTCATCCACTTGTTCAGATTAACATGTCTATAAGGTAATTTTTATTGACAGGATTCACTGTTTGTACTATTTGTAATAATGATGTCGAATTAGTGGTCATGGTTATACTTTAATAATAATGAGAAACATATGAACCTAATGAAAAGTGGAATTGTAGTAGTATTAGATTTGCATTTAAATTACGAGGTAGATCTAGTGTCCATCTTGAATAAATAAAGTCTACAGAACTATCGAAATGAAATAATCAAATAAACATACAAATAATTACATGTACGTAAAAATATACATAATTATGAGTCAATTAAATAACCAATAGAATGAAATTGACACATTTGATTGTCACATGATAATCTGGTTTGATATGGACTTCAAGGTCCTATGGTTAAGTTGT